TAAAAGTCCAAATTTTTCAATGGTATAATAAAAATTAACAATATCTAACCCCTTTGTGCCCGTACATCGCGTCAAACTTCACAAAAAATTAATACAATTTTCTATGATTGTTTAGAGTGTAATTGTACATAGTTGCAAAATATATTAATTAAAAACAATTAAAGTACATAAAAATAGAGATTTTAAGCTTCAAAATGAGCCAAAGCAGAAGCATTTTTGATCATTTTTAAAGAAGTTATGACACTTTGATTTTTGCCATTTTTTTATAAGTTTCTAGGTGCACTGATACTTTTGAGCGGTACTGTATATATATATATATATATTGCAAGTAATTTTAAACATAATAACATAATAAGGTGTTTTCTTTTATACATATTTGTGTACGTGTCGTAAGATATCATCTTTTTTAAATTTCTTGATAAAGTAATGAAATATGCACACAAGGTTGAATACTAAAGTTAGAAGAAAATTCGCAATTATTCAGCCCAGAATTCGCATATTAGAAAATATCTGCACTTAATTGTTTATTTTTAATATAATATAAAAATAAGATATTTTTATCACATGAGGCATTAACAGATGAAATCAGATTTCATACATGCGTACAGACTTTTGCACCATACTGCAGTACTTAAAATTTTGTTAATTTTTTTATACATATTGCATATGGTTTTTACAATCCGAATTAACATTACATCTTATTTATTCAATTCAAACAACACTGCAAAAACTTTTTTTTCTTAGATAAATAATTTACATTGAAGATTTGCGATATATGAAAGAAAATCATTTCTATATTAAAGTTATGCTTCTATTAAACCTGCAAGTATTCAACCTAGAATTTACTTATTAGAAAATATTTACGCTTTATTGTTAATTTTTAATGTATAAAAGAAGATATTTTTAACATACGAGTCATAAACAGATAAAATCACATACCTACAGACGTTTGCACCATTCATTAAAACTTAAAAACTTAGTAAATTTTTCATGAGACGTACATGTGATTTTTACAATCCAAAAAATTATTGCATCTTTTTATTCAACCGAAATCAGTAAACAAAATTTAATTTTTTTGTCATTAGTGAATTTTGTTTTTTAAATGCATTAAAAATTTGCGATATGTAATCTCTTGCATAATTAATAGACGCACTATAAGATTTTATGTAAAATCTTAATTATCTGGTGATACTCTACAGCTTTATTGTTTTTACGCGACTCAAACCGGTTTACCCTTGTTTACGTTCGTGTATCAAATGGTTAACATTTTTATGCAATACGTTAAAAATAAATACAAATAGGAAGTATATAAAAAATTTCCTGAGTGAAAATCCAATGCACGTATGTTTAAATATAAGAATATTGCATATAAACTCATGCAAAGCATGTCATTATTAAAAAACTGCAGTGCATCTAATTATTACACTAAAATTACATCATTCCTGATATAATAAATATTCTATATTTACATAATTTATCGTCTAATTTATTCAATCATCGAATTACGAATTTATATCATATATCGTCTAATTTAACCAACTGATACACGAACGTAAGCAAGTGCAAATAGGTTACAGTCCCGTAAAAACGATAAAGTTGTATAGCATCCCCCCGATAATTAAGATTTTGTATAGAATCTTATAGTGGGTTTAATAATTTGGCTAGGGACTGTATAAAATGAAATCAAGAAATAAACACTTTTACAAAGAAATCAATTGTATTTAAAAAAAAGAGTTTGTGCTTGAGAATTAACAGAATTCTGGAAGGGGGGGGATGAAAAAGCCAGACCATCATCGTGTGCTATCGCTCCTGACGTCACAGCTACTGCGAAAATCAGTTATTAGGATTTTTCTCAGGCAGGTGTAGCTATATCCGTCCTCAAATTTTCTTCCGTATCAAGAAAATGTCTTACATTGAATACATTAACAGGGAGTGTAGCGCTTTTAAAAAGTGCTTAACGGTGCTTATTTTCGTTTTTCAAAAGACCTTAAAGGTGCTTTTTCATTGGGTGTTTTTAAAAAGTGCCTAATTTTCCCTTTTCCAAAATTAGATTTCTTTTTCTTTACCATATAAATTTTGGATTCGAAATACTCAAAAAGCGAGGTTTTCATATTGTTCTATTTAACGTTTTCATAATTCAATCAGCCACAACCTATTTCGACATAGGGTAAACTAACCAGTGAAGGAACACTTAAGCTTATCTTGCCCTTAAATTTCACAATTTGTAATTTTAGCTAAATGACAGTGCCAACTTATTCCTTATTAAATGCAAATTATGCACACAAAAAATTTGTGAACTTACATAATATTGTTTTAAGCTTTTGGTTGTTCAAATAATAAGTAGTAAGATGACCAAGTGAAGGAACAGCTCTTATCAGTGAATGAACACTAAATTTCCCAGTGAGTGAGCACTTAATTTTGAGAATTTTCGATGCTCTTTAGGAATTCATAAGCCAAACAAATGTCTAAAAACAAAATTTTTTCTTGGAATTATAACATCTAACCACAGTTAACGTAGACAATTTTTCTTTTTTTTTAGTCATGAAATGGAAAGTAAAATAGGGTTGAATACAGAATTAAAAAAAAAAAATATTTTTCTTTCTCTCAGTTTAATAATCGAGTCTAAATCATAAATGTTTATATTTTATCGCGTTTTTGTTAAATCTTTTTCCCCATATTTTTCTAGGCTTTTTTTCATCTTTTTAAATATTTTTTTCTCTTCATACTTTCTTGCTTTAACTTTTTTTTCCAGCTCTTTCAGTCTCTTTAAATTTTCTGAAGTTAATGCAAAAGGTAATTTATTTCTTTTTCTTTTGATTTGATCTTCCTCTTTATTCCAAATATTTGACTAATGTGAATGTATCTTAGAAATTTCTTCTGATTTTCCAGTACTATTTCTAAAATTTCTCACTGGATAATTGATGGGAAAAGGTGTTTAAGTTTGAAGAAAATCCATCTCTCACTCACTTATATCTTGTGGGTCTTCAGCAGTACTCACCATTTTCTGACTTTGATTACTAATGGAACGAATAGTTTTTGCAACTAACAATGCCTCAAGAGGACTTATCTCAAAATCTGTTTTCAAGATACATTCATTATCAATGTTAGTTTTTCAGCTTCAGTGCCCAAAATCTGACTTAACTAAATGTTCTTTTTGCAATAAATTCTTCCATATTTAGAAAAGCACAGGCTATTGGATATTAGGGATATTAGACTCTTCTGTCAATGTTCCTTTAAAAATTTGCAACGTATCTTGTGAGATTTCATTCTCAAGCTTCGGAAGAAATAGTGCATCCTTACTCGAAGTTCTCGTTTATCGAAATATACGTTTTGTTGATAAGCTTTCTTGCTCATTAACTCTTTTTGTCTGTCTTGCATGCATTTGTTAAAGTCAGCGTTTTCAGCATCAAATGGAAAAATACGACATTTTATAAAAGCAATTTAACTTTATCAG